GCCACGCCCCCTCTAGCAGCCACCTGTCAGTCAGAGAGGCCACGCCCCCTCTAGCAGCCACCTGTCAGTCAGAGAAGCCATGCGCTCAACGAGCTCGTCTCAGATGTTTTCAGGTGCAGCCAAAACTGGAGTGAACGTTTTCTTCGTTCCTCTGAATGAAGCTCAGCTTCATCCCACTGACAGGAAACAGGAAGTTGTTGTATTTTTTTAAACTCCAGGTCGTCTCTGTCAGAAATATTCGAACCAATCTTGTGATGTTACCGGCAGCATTTTTATTCTTCCCTCTGTGCTGTTTTATAAAAATGTCTTACCGGGACCCTAGATCAGGGGAGACCACGGGAATTCTGGGTAATTGTGCAGCTGACGGCCTGTGTGGACGTTACTGTTGCTCGATTACACCTTCAGATAAAATAAAAAGGTTTTTTTTAATTGCTGGACGCCCACGTCAGAGCTGTGACACGGAGAAGAAGTCGTGCGTGAGCAGGGGAAGTTTGCCGCTCGGCTTCCTTCCTGTCCGGCCTCCTCTATTTAAAGGAAAAGTCTGTCCGCCCGGCCGGCATACGAGCGGTCACACTGTGGCTGATCCTTTATTATCTCACAGACACAATAATCAGCGTGGAGTCCACCTCCAAGTGTTAGACGCAGTATTTTAGGAACAGCTGGATGTTTTGCGTCACCAGTGTGGACGCAGTCAGCCTGCTTTATCTGCTGCTGCCTCCAACAAAACCAAGACGCGCTTCTTCAGAGAGCGTTGGTGAACCTGCAGCCTGCTGTGCAGTAACGTGCTGTAATGTTGACGTGTGAAGGTTCAAAAACACTGATTTATTCAGCCGACTTATTAACAGGTGGTAGAGCTGTAGCTCTCTGAGCTGACGGCAGCATCATTCTGGATGATTCAGCAGCAGCTGAAGTTTAACTCTTCATGTTGAGACTCAATTCTGCTTCAACGTGAACAATCGGGGCAGAAAGAGAAATCTTGTATTTGTAACAAATAATATTAAAGCTGAGGGATGGGCTGCACAGCCAACGAGTTCTGAAATCAACACGACTGAAAAATATTCATAATCGTTGCTGCATGCACGAATCACAACGAACGACAGACGGACAAAACAAACAGACGTCTGGCACAGCAGGAGGGAGAGAGCGTGTCCCTCCACACGGACCGTCCTCAGCAGCAACACAGCACCTTATATTATATTATTTCGAAGTGTGTATGTGATGTGTTGTAAGTGTGTAAGTACATCTCTGAATGCTTTACAAACATTCAGAGATGAACTTACACACTTGCTTTACTTCTCTCTGGGAAAACTTCCTCGGAGATGAAATGCTGGTTTGGTAGCGAAGCTCAAAATACACACAGCCTCTATCACGTGACCACACTGCTTCCACGTGCTGAGGTTATGAGCCGAGTTACG